TTTTATTTGTAGTGTAAACGAGCAGACGAGAAAAATCAGATTTGATCAAAAAATCGGAATTGAGCATTAAGACCTGCAGAGTGAACGTAGCCTAAGTAACTGTTAATCTGAAATCACGGCAGCAAAGCGGAGAAATCTTTCCTATGCAGGTTTCTGTTACTGTGTTGCACAAAGCTGCTCACGATGGAGTTGTGCTCCAGAACGCTGATACCATCTTCATGTACAGCCAGCCAAACACGAACACCGGGCTCCGGAGAGGGCGTGATGGACTAAAGCAGAGAGAACAGAGGGTGAGGTTAGTTATGGGCATGTTTTCACGATGTGTCGAAAAACTGCAGCACTCACTCTGTCAGATACTGTTTACACTGTAGTGGGAAACAATGCAAAGAAACCTATTTCAAGTTTTTGTCCCCTACTTTTTTCTTTTCTTTTCTTTGGAGCACACTGACAGTTTATTTAGTTTAAATGTTGGCCTCCATTCATGCTACTTCTTTGAAATTTGTAACATATATTCAGTATCTGAGATGATAAGATAAACTTTATTTACAAACAGATTACTGCTCACACGTGCTCACCTCTGCCTCAAACAGTCGGGCACCAAAGAACGGCCACTTCCTGGCTACGGTCAGGTAGATCCTGACGCACTCTGGTGAACTTCGACCCCTGAGTGAAGCCCAGCGGGCAGAGAGACGCTGTAGCAGTTGTCTGAGGGAAAGCAGAGGACAAAATAGAGTTTGCTTTTAAAGCATTTACAGTTTTGTAAGTCTCTTTTTGACCATTAAAGACTTGAGAACACAAAGACAGGTACTGTATGATGAAAGAAACATAAAACACAAGCAGTCACAAAGCTGCTTTCTGGGATGGAAACCTTCATGTTATATGTGTAATAAAAGATTATAAAAGCATAAACAGATAATGTGCATGCACTACAAAGTAGGACGTGAGTTCAGATTTAAAGCCACTGTTTCTCAGGGTGTTTTGTGTCTGGTACCTGAGCTGCTCCTCAGATGTGCTCCTGCGGTAATGTTTGGGGTAGAATCTGTCCAACACCTGCTTCAGGTTCTGATTAGACTTAGTCTGGGCCGATCCAGAGGTGGAGAAGGGACGCTCAAAATCTCCAAATTCCACCTGTACACAGACACGCAGTGCAGGCAGTAAGTATTCAGAAATTCTTCACCCTCTGTTTCTCACTTTAATCCAGGAGTGGATACGACATATGTGGCACTATTCACCTATAAATTACATAAAAAATGACAAAAAATGTGGCAGATGTCACTGTTTTTAGACCAGGGCCTGAGTTACACATGAACCTCTGCATAAAGCCAGGCCACACTACACACGCTGTGAAAGAGATATGAAACGCAAGAAGTGAGTTAAAAGAAAAATCACTTGATATCAGACCTGTGCGAGCAGTGCGGCCATTTCCAGAGCCAGCTCCTTGTTGACAGGAAAGTGTCCGGCTACGATGGCTTCATTGGTCTGATATGCCAGCAGTAACCTCTCCCTCTCTGACTCCCCCCTCACTTGGAGAGAGAAGTAAAGTCTGAAGATGGAGAGGAAAAGTTAAAGAGAACCGATATGAGGACAAAGCGACCGGGCGATAAATCCTCCTGAGAGAAACATGTAATCCAGGCAGTAACCCCAGTCCACCCTGATCTTTATATGCAGTCTGCCTCTGATCCGCCATCTAGTTTAATTTACAGTGAAGAGCAATGCCATCAAATATAATCAAGAATTCGAATTATTTAAGACTGAACTGCAACAGACAGACTGAAATAAAAGGGGTTGAAATCAATGCAGCATATTTTATTTCAATGTTTTGTTTTGTATTCGTCCTTTTTTCTCAAACTTGCTACACAGGACACAGACTCAAGCTTTACAAAAGCTTTTATGCAACTTTTCTCACACGTGTGACCACTTGGCATCCACGGTGTGTCTCACCCAGCTGTAACCTTTAGTGACCCTCAATAAGCAGAATAGCTAACAAACTCTTTTATCCCAATGAGCATTATTTCAACACTGAACTGTTGAACCTGATGTTTGGACGCTACCTGTTCTTGTAGGTGAGGCGGACAGTCCTGGTGTTTTCCGACTTGCCGGTGTGATGCTCCTTGGAGGCCTGCTCCCATTTGGAGATAATGTCGCAAATCTGCACATGAGACGAGACACCTTTGTGTGGGAAAACGCAGATTTTTCAATCTTCCTAAAGTAATCACCGCATGACTAAAAGGCGCACCTTCAGGCCTCCTTGCAGACAGTGTTCCAGCGACCGTCCAGTGGGGTCATCGGTGTACAAGCTGAAACCAGAAAGTCCCGTTTTCCTCATGCCGGTGTCCTGGTTGAGACGACACTGGAACTCGTCCACCGTTGTCGAGGCGTCAAAGCTCACCACCTACAGTACAAGGTGTAGGTGAACAAGGAATTAAATCCATAAGTGGAAGACGCAATAATCTAATCTGAGTGTGCAATGATTCTGAGTTTTCAAAATAAATCCGGGTCAAGCTTCAGCTCAAAAGAACAAGATTTCTTCAAAACATCTGCATGTTGTTAAACTTTAAATGCTGTATAAAGAAACTGTGATAAATCGACACTGACTCAGGTAACACCTGTTAATGTTTAACAGGTGTTATGACTGGCTGATATGGAAAGATGAATTGTTGTGCGCATGTGTGAAAATGCATCTACTTCCTGTCACAGCGACGGTTTGAACAGTTTTTTCTCTTCCCGCTGCTGATTGACTGTGCCGCGTTATTAGTGCCGATACAGAAATAAACTTCACAGACAGGAAAGCACAAGACATCTTCTGTTCTGTTAACATTATACATTAGATATTATGGATGAATATCATAAATAATTTATATTTGCCTTGTTATTCAATAAATACTGAAATATCCAACATCATCATTCAGGTGGTAACGTCAAACTTGCACTAATCACGTCCAGCATGACTTCAGTGCAAGCTTTCCTTTACTAATACAGGCACATAACAAAGCACATAAAAGTATAATCGAACATAGATTTTATATGCTGGCTTGGAAAGTTCTGGAATAGTTTGCTGACGACACTGTTGTTGTAGGCCTGATCTCCGACAACATCGAGACGGCCTACCTGGAGGAGATTAGGAACCTGGAGACCTGGTGCCAGGAGAATAACCTCCTCCTAAACATCAGCA